GAGTGAGGAGAGCAAAACAACACTGCTTAGAGCAAAACTCTGAGGAGAGCCTCACTGTGTGACCTTAAGCAAGTTATATAACCCCTTTGAGCTTCCATTGCCACATATGTATGGTGCAATAATAATAACAATTACCCTTTACATGTTTTAGGAGGACAAGGTGAGATAGTCCATGTAAAGTGTTTGGCACAGCGCCAGAGGATCAGTAACTCATGGTCGTTGGCTAGTTGATCATGAGTGGACCCAGGCTTCAGGGCAAACCCAGATAATGTGGCAGACCTCTGCCTCCGTGCTCCATCCTATGAGACGTCAGGCTAGTCATTGCCCCTCTCTGGGCCCATAGGCCTCCCCCAGCTCTCCCCAGGGCCAATGAGAAGCTCACATGGCAGGACCATGTGAAAAGGCTTTGTAAATTGCAAAGAACAGCACACATAGGAGATTTGAGATGACCCTTTGCCCGCACTGTCCTGCCTACGTGCTTGCGGGCTCACCATTACAACCACCCCTCTGTGCTCAGATATTGCTTTTGTCAGCCCTGTAGAGACCTGGGGACATGCACAGAGAGGTACTTTTGGCCACCTGCAGCTGGAGTGTGTCCTCTATCACACCAACTCCAAATGCTATTCCCAAAACCAGGAGGTGTTTGTAAATCACTTTCCTGATGCAACCCTGAGATTCTCATTCAGAGGGTGGGCCTAGGAACCTGGGTTTTAACAATGATTTCCCCCACATGATTCTGATACACAGCCAAGTTCAGTAATACTTGGATCATATTTGCTTTCTGTCATTTGCAGAGTGAACCCCAGGGGACCAGGGCACAGAACAATTCAGTTTTGATAAAGGAGGGGAAGAAATGACAAGGGTGCTTCAGGAAAGGGCAACAGATGTGAGGCCTAAGTGACGCTTGGCAACACGAGTGGGGCAGGATGAGAGCCCAGAAGAGGAGGAAGTGCCATAGGCAGAGGGTAAATTCAACTTGGTCTAGTTCATATTCAGTCCAAGAGCTGGCTAAGGTGTAGATCTTCTTGTAGTGTGTCTGTACCTATGTGTAACATGTGAATCAATGTATGCTACATATGGATACACTGTAACCGTTATATAACTGTTCTTACATGCATTTAGCTCTTGCATTTCTGCATGCTTCACCGTAGATAAGCTGAGCTCGTATGCACCTATGTATGTGTAGATTTGTATGTACATGTGAGTATTAATTTGAGTAGATATATGAATGAGAATGCCTATATGTGTGTGATTTCTTCCCAGAAGTATGCCAGGTAAATGTTAGCAATAAGAAAGAGATATGGTAATATCAATATCAGACAAGCAGAATCAAAATGACACAATGATATTGACATTAAATGATGCATTAAATGATAGAAAATATTTTATATAACAGACATGAACCTTTACGCACCTACCAACATAGTGTTGAAATCTTAAATCTTAAATAATGATAGAGAAACATACTGAGAGAAACACAGAAAAAGTGGGCAAGTACGCAATTGTGAAAAGCTGCAAGCTGCAACTGGTGCCATGGCAGATGGGCCAGAGTTCTTTCAGGGCCAGAGTGACCCTTCTCCTCTCTTCCTAGGTACCCTGCACACCAAAGAACCTCTAGTGGTTACCAAATATGGGACCCTCCAAGGAAAATAGATGCACATGGGAAGACACCCATCAGTGTCTTCCTAGGAGTCTCCTTCTCCAGACCTCCTGTGGGTGCCTGCAGGTTCACTGCCCCAGGGCCTCCAGAATCCTGGGAAGGAATCAGAAATGCCACCACCTATATCCCTGCATAAGAGCCAAAGGACTACTATCTGGGAGGTGGGCAAACCCTAAGGAGGGCGGTGGACCAATGCCTGCCTCTGGGTCAGGGTTTGAACAACTCACTAAAAAGAGTCCACTGTGTGGCCATAAGTGGGCCAGGGGCCCATTCTGGGCCTCAGTTTACAAACCTATATAATGAAGTAATTGGCCCAGATGGTGTTTAAGGCACTGATAATTCTGTTCTTGGCTCTCTCATGGGAGAGCTCCAGGTAAGGAGGAGGTGCTCACTGATGTGCCCCTGGCACCTTCTGGGGAGCTGAGTTGTCCTAAAAGTATGTGAGGAGCAGTTCATTTGTTCTTTCTCTCTCTCTCTCTCTCTCTCCCCCTCTCTCTTTCTCACACACACACACACACACACACACACACACACACCCCATACGCAGTGAACCCTGAGCTCTTCCCTCTCACTTGGGACTTGAGCCCAAGGACAAGCCCACATGGCACATCCAACCCTTCACTGCAGAAGGAGCTCCAAGATGGGGAGGTCACAGGCTCAGGTTCAGTTTTAATGTCCCAGAATCTTTTTTTTTTAAAGATTTTATTTATTTATTAGAGAGACAGATAGCGAGAGCAGGAACACAAGCAGGGGGAGTGGGAGAGGGAGAAGCAGGGTTCCCGCCGAGCAGGGAGCCTGATGTGGGACTCGATCCCAGGACCCTGGGATC